ACAAGTTGCTTTACTGCTCTATACCTCAATTTCCTCATGTGAAAACGTAAATAATATTGGTACTGATTGTTGTGTGAATTAAAGCAAATAATATATGTAAAGTACTTAGCACTGTGGCCTGGGATATAGATGATGCAATAAGAGTTTGCTGCTGCTAATACCACTACTAGTAATAGTAATACAAAGGGATTGCTCTATGTAGGAGTTAATTTCTGAATTAAGTTCACAAGGTAAAAACCATACGTAATATGATAATTCAAAATCCCATCTTGCATGCTCTCAAAAGCATATACTTCTCCTCTCTCTCTTTCTCTCTCTCAACCTTTCACATGAATAGGATTGGCCCACTTAAGTTAATAACAGCTAATATTTAATGAGTGCTTGGCATGTACCGGCAGGTACTGGTAGAAATCTTTACATGCATTAATCCATTTTATTTAATGTCATATCAATTCTATAGGTGAGTACTAGGATTTTCTCCATCTTACATGTGAGAAAACTAAGGCACAGAAAGGTCAAACAACTTGCCCAAATAACACAGGGGCTTTAATCCAGGTGGTCAGCCAGCCAGGCTCCAGAATCTGCATTTGCAACCTGTGGGTTCAACTGTCTCTTCTGAAGTAAATAAGATGTGACTGTACTCTAATACTAATTTTAGTATTGCCAGGCATTTGTACAAATCCTGGAATACAGTGGATGTTTGCTGAATGTTTGTGGAATGGATGAATTCCTCAGGTTACTCATTGTAAGAACAACTTCCTTTGCACAGAGAACCCATCTATTCATAAACTCACAAGTAGTGGAGTGGAAATGGGGCAGAGTGAGGCCAGCAGGGAGCATCCCCACCTCGGGAGCCTCTTTGCTGTTCTCTGTTGATGCTTGGCTGGCTCCTGGTCCATGTCTCCATCCTCATCCTCCTGGAGCCAGGTCATTCCCAACTCAAACCATCCTATAACAAGAAGTCTTCACCCTATGCAGCTGTCATCTTGTGTCACTTTGGAGATGCTACGTCATCATCTTATTCTAGGGTAAGGGTGTAAAGGGAGCAGGAAAAGGAACTTATGACCTTTAGCAATCTTTAGAGGGACTCTAGTAAAGCAATGTTTCCCCAAGTAGGGTGATGGTGGGGAAGTGCAGAGATGTATTCTCAGCGGCGTATGAGTTCTCGCCAAGAATTTTTAAGTGATATGTTTTTATTTCAACGATTATGTGATCAAATTAGTAGTCATATATTCTAGGGGTTAAGATCTAACTCTTGCATTAGAGATCCTGGTTGCAAATCCTGATGTTGCTAAGAGACAAATTGAGCCCTTGCAACTAGGCTTCTAGATGATTTGAGAAGTTGAATGCAGCAAAAAAAGTTTTCCTCTTGACCTTCTTCTCCTTCCTCCCCATCTAGGCAACTCAGAAACTGGTTCTGATTTGTATTTACAGTTAGATCCTGGCCTTCGATGCAAGACTTTCTGGCGGAGGTGACTCGAGCTGAGCAGGGATCCACCAGGCTGGTGTGTTACACAACCATTACATTCAAGTGTACAGTGCCTTCTGGTAGAAGATGTCTTCTCCCTATGCATTTGGTCTGACAAAACCATGTAAGGTAAGTAGCGATACAGTTGACCCTTGAACAATGTGGGGCTTGGTGTGCTGACACTACATGCAGTCAAAAATCCCCACTTTTGAAACCCCAAAACTTAATTGCCCACTGTTGACTGGAAGCCTTACCCATAATATAAATACTCAGTTAACACATACTTTGTATGTTGTGTGTATTATATGCTGTATTCTTACAATAAAGTAACATGGAGATGAAAAGATTTCACTAATCACAAGGAAGAGAAAATGTATTTACTATTCAGTAAGTGGAAATGGATCACTATGAAGGCCCTCATCTTCTTCATCTTTACCTTGCATAGGCTGAGGAGGAAGAGGAAGAGAAATCTTCCTCCTCTTGCTGTCTGAGAGGTAATAGAGGTGGAAGAAATTCTGTTTAAGTTTCCCACACAGTTCAAACCTGTGTTGTTCAAAGGTCAAATGAATATATATTTATATTTATATACAGTCCACATTAATCATAATTTCTATATTTGCAAATCTGCCTACTCATTAAGATTAATTTTTAACCCCAAAATCAATACTTGCAGTACTTTTGCTATGAGCAGAATGGCAAAAAATTGCAGCCACCCAATGCACACATTCCCAGCTGAGGTCAAACATGGCGACACTCTGTCTCCTTGCTTCAGCTCCCAAACTATAAACAAGTGTCCTTTTGTGGTCTACTTGCTACCACATTTTTCACATTTTTGTGCTTTTTTGTTTCAAATGGTCCCCCAGCATAGCACTGAAGTAAGCACAAGCAGGCTGTGATGCTCCTTACAGAGAAAATAGATGTGGTAGAAACACTTCGTTCAGGCATGAGTTACAGTGCTGTTGGCCATGAGTTCAGTGTCGATGAATCAGCAGTAATATTAAGTAAGCTGTCTTTAAACAGGTGAGTTCAATGTCAGTGAGTCAGCAATAATATTAAATGTCTTTAAACAACAGCACACACATGATTATGTTTTATGATTGACAGAATTGTAACCAGAGGCTTGCTAGAACCTAACCCTGTTATTTCCCCTTGGAGCAGTGGTTCAGTATCTGCCACTGCAGTGTTCCCAGAGGCTTCTTAGAACACAACGACTGTAAATAATAACAATATGGGGCAGACTGGATATACATCAAATATATGACATTTTAATATCCAGGCTCAGAGAGGAAGGAGAATCTGCCCAAATGTCCCAGATCTCACAACTGATGCAGAAGCCAGAGTTGGTCCCTGAGCTCAGGTCTGTCTGAGTCCCTGCTCCCTCCGCAACCACCGCTGCCATCCCCCATCCTGCCCTCCCCACTCAAATGACTTGTACAGACAATGGTCGCTTGTGGAGTTGGGTAAGGAGGACTTGCTCCAGATGTCTTTGCCTCTCCTTTGCTCGTGTTGTTCTTTGTTTCGCCTCCCACCCTTTTTGTTCATTTGTTTTTGGATTATCCATAACCACTCTGCCATTGCAGGTGAGCTTACAGGTACCTCTTCACCGCCAAGCACAAACCTTTCCAAACAGGGGTCTAGGGAAAGAACAGGGCAATCAGCCTGGAAATAAATGCAGTCAGCCTTTTTTTTTGAGACAGAGTCTTGCTCTGTCATCCAGGCTGGAGCGCAGTGGTGTGATCTCGACTCACTGAAACCTCCACCTCCTGGGTTCAAGCAATTCTCCTGTTGCAGCCTCTCATGTAGCTGAGACTACAGGTGCCCACCACTATGCATGGCTAATTTTTGTATTTTTAGTAGAGATGGGGTTTCACCATGATGGCCAGGCTGGTCTCGAACTCCTGACCTCAAGTGATCCGCTGGTCTCGGCCTCCCGAAGTGCTGGGATTACAGGTGTGTGCCACCGCCCAGCCTGCAGTTGGCTTTTAAATTCAAGTTCACACATGAGCCAGTGAAAATTCTGTTACTTATTCTTACCAAAATTTAAACTCTAGAACAGGGCAGGTGGGAAGAGAGGACCTAAAGGAACATCTGCCCCTTCCCAGACCCTACCTTGGCAGCCTTCAGCAATCCTGGAGAGTCTTATCCCTTCCCACAGAGGAGCAGGGACTCTAAGCATTTTCAAACAATCAGTTACATTTTGTGGGAACTTAAATCCAATATATCCCTGTTCATGGGTCCCACAATGCTTAGAACGATGCACTGCCCTGAGGAGTTTGACAGGTGTGGCAGAGGAGAGGCAGGAGAGAGTAGGAGAAGAGAGGATTAACAAGTGTCTATGAGGTGGCATTTATGTGTAGAATTTCCTTTCCTTTCAAAGGTTTCAAAGGAATTTCCAGGATAGCCGGAGTCTAGCTCAAAGGTAGCCAGCCAGAAAACGTGTCCAAACTATGCAGTAAGATCATACCTCTGAAGATCCCTCCTTGGTGTAGACTCTATGGCTTTCGCAATGGTGCTGAGCTCTGGGCAGCACCAGAACCTCAGGCTCTGACACCCCCAAAGCTGCAGGTCTCCATGGCTGCTTGGGCCAAAAGGTGGGTTCTGGGCAGTCCCCTTCCTCCAGTTCACTTCGAAACTAGACTCTTCCGAGGGCATATCTGATTCGTAAAGCCCAGGGCACATGACGGGGTGACTGAAAACAACAGAAATTTATTGTTTTACATTTCTGGAGACAGGAAGTCCAAAATCAAGGTGTTGGCAGTGCCACCCTCCTTCTGGAGGCTGGAGGGGAGAATCTGCTCTTTGCCTCTTCCGGCTCCTTGGGGCTGCAGGCATTCTTCAATTTGCGGTCACATCGCTCCAATCTCCATCTCTCTGGTCATATTGCCTCTTTCTCCTCTCCCTCTATATTAAATCTCCTTCTGCCTTATATTTATAAGAACAGTGGCACTGGATTTAGGACTCATCAGATAATTCAGGATGATCTTCCTCATATCAAGATCCTTAACATCTGCAAAGATCCTTTTTCCAAATAGGGTAACAGTCACAGTTTCTGGGGATTAGGACGTGGTACCCCTTGTGTTTTGTTTTGTTGTTGTTGTTTTGCTTTTGGAGAGGGGGAGCCATTCAACTCACTATAGCTGACAAAAAATTTAAATCACAAACGAAGCTTTTTATACAGGTACAGATACAGAAGCTTACTCAGACCAGTGGAATTGAAATATTTAGTGCCGTGGCATCCAGGTTGCATTTTGTTGTTGTCACTTTTCCAAGCATTGTGCTGCTTAGCCTGGGTTGAGGACCAGTGAGTGTACAATCCACCTCTTTATACAGGTGAGAACAGAGGCCAGACAGGAGCCAAGACCTCCTCAAGTCAAGTCACATTGAATAGCTTGGACCTCCAGCAGATGTTCCTCAGCCACTTCCAGCTATGTGCAGCCCCCTTCTCCCTGGGATCGTTCAGGCTTCCAGAGTACCCAGGTGGCCAGCGTCTTCTCCGGCTTGCTCTTAGTTAAGATCCTAATGAACTTTCTCAAGATTCAGGACAATGCTTGGCCTCAGATTTGATGGGTCCTCAAACAGGGGACAGATCAACCTGCTGACTTGCCATGTGACCTCAAGGAAGTCACTGAACTTCTCTTGTTCTAATTTGCTCATCTTTAACATGGAGGATTCAGCTCATTGTGCTCTAAGGCGACTTTCATAGCAAAAATGCTGTGATTTGATAATTCTAAGCATCTGAGAATGTTTTCTTTGGCCCTCAGCCATCCCAGGATGTTTGATAAAATCTGATCATTTGGATAAGTCCCAGGAAAGGAACAGATCAGAGCCTGCATTGGGTGTTGAGAGCCCACCTGATGGGAGTGTGTGCGTGCATGTGGTGGGGAACGGGGAGCATGGTAAAGTGTGGAGACTGAGAACTAGAAAGAATTAAAGATTATTCAACTTGTTCCAAATATGGAAACTGAGCCCCAGAGAAGGAAATGATTCGTTCAAGTTCATACAGCTAGTTAAAGGCAGAACCGGAATTAGAATTAATCCATTCCTAGGTTATTTCCCCTACAATGAGTATGACAAATACATTTCCTTTTCTGTCCTCTGATCAATTAACAGTGGCTGCCTAGAGCACTGACTTCTGGAAGTTTCCCAGGTCCTTCAGAATTCAGCAACAAGAGTGACGATTGATTAGCAATGTCTGATATGGCCACAGGAAAGGAGAGTGGTCACCCAGACTTTGTCAGCCCCGACTTTCCAGGACTCGTGATAGAACTTAATTGCCAGTGGGGAACTTGAGGCTCATTCTTCATAGAGAACCAACAGGTGAAAGAAGAGCAGTAAACTACGTAACTCCTTCTGCAGAAAATTCTTTTAAGTGCCTGGTCCGAAATTCAGAGGTGGTAGTCAATGCATGCTTAGGGAACCAATTCAGTCAAAGTTTGCTAAGTAACACTGGGAACAAATAGTGTTGCAAACTGTGAAAAGGGACGCAGAACAAGATAATACGTAAGGTAGAGACACATTGTACAATATGCACCAGAAGTTTTTGTTGTATTTTTTAATGTTGCTCCAACTGTAATATCACTGCTTAGACTAAGACGGTGAAATTAATTGATTTACTTTCAGACGCATAGTTGCAAAGTTGTATGTAAAACTATATGAGCATATGGACTAGCTAACCCCGCCATGCCTAAATTTAATTCTAGTCAATAATAATAACAACAATAGCTATGTCATTTAATCCTCACAACAATCTTATGAGGTAAATGTTGTTATTATCTCTGTTTTACAGATGAGGAAACAGATGTAGATGGGCTGACAGACTTGTCCAAGTTCACACAATTAATAGGTGGCAGAACTGGGATTTGAGTCAAACTTGTGATTTCAACACTTCCCTCTAATTAAAAGCTGGACCCAACCTGAGGCATATTTGAGGACTCATGGAAGTTACTAGAAGTGGGGTATAGGCCTTTTTAGAAATGGCCTTGAAATGTCAACTCTTCTTAATACAAAAGCAACATCATGATCTTTCTCTTGTTTTCAATTACTAGCCTCCAAATCACCAAACTTCTTTGCCTCTCTGGGAAAACTAAATGACCCACCACTTTAGAAGAAGCTCATGGGATCTGTGCACAGCTTTTCACCTCCTCCCTGAAACACCAACACGCCCGGTCCGGGTTAAAGGATATCAGCACTGCCACACACTCTTCTTTTTCCCAAATTAATCAAGAAGTAGGAATTTCTGACAAATGCCATCTGCTGATTTTTCAGAGACAAGTTTTGGTGGTGTGACCAGCAGGTGCCTCGGCTTTTTCTAGCATGCAGTACCAAAATAGTCACCATGGCAACCCTGGGAGGGCAGACTTCCAAAGAGATGCATTGTGAGCACAGAAACTCTAGAGCACTTTCAAGCTAGAAGAAAGAAGGCTCAGCAGTGGGTTTCCAACTGCGGCAAGTAGCAGCTTCTCCCCACAGCCCCGGGCTGGACCCCAGTCCCCTGTGTACTGGGCACAGCCAGTACCTCCACCCCACCCTGGGGCTTATGCCTCCAGGAAGAAAAGGGAAATGGAATTTGTGGGGAGTGGCAACTCCCAGATTTCTTGCAGGAGCTAAAGTAGCATGGAGGGTGACAAAAGAGGTGCAGACCTGGGTTGGGAGGCAGAAGAAGTGGGTTGAAATACCTGCCTGTCCCTTGCTAACCAATGACCTTGGGCAATCAACCTTGCCTTTCTGACTCTCAGCTTCTCATTTTTGAAATGGGAGTGGTAAGCTTGCACTGCCTCTTCACAGGGAAAATTGTGGATGTGATAGGAAGCTGTGAAAACTGTTGGGAAAGTGCTCAGTGGACAGTGCAAAGCAGAAGAGAGCAGGGATTTGGGGATCAGGAGGTTTGGGTTCTGGACTATGCTCTGCTACTTTCTAATCTTACAAGCTTGGGCAAGTCATAGAGCTTGTCGGACCTACTCCCTCACCTTGGAAGAAGGTCCTACTCCCTCACCTTGGAAGAAGGTTCAGAAGCCCTGCCTTGCAGAGCAGATGTGCAGGTTACCTGGGCTCCTTCTGTGACCTGGGATTCTACTCTCCCCTTCGGTGCAGACACCAAGACAAGATAAACCGTGCAGAAGATTTCACTAGGGGAAACATCTGTGCGACAACAATGGGGAGGGAGCTGGGAGAGGCTAGGAGAGAGGAAAGGCTGGGAGAGCCATCACACCTTAATGCAAATTTGACCCAAGTGCAGATGGGAAGCAAGGTTGAGTGGAAGCTCCTAGACTGCCTACAGTAAGGCCATCAGAGAGTCCTCAAGCCAAAGTCACCTATCAGAGAAGTTCCCTGTCTCTTGGAGACAGGTCTGCCTTAGTATCCCTGCCACACTCAGTTGCTGATTGTCTGGAAGTAGCCAAAAGGAAGAGCGGCCTCTGCATAAATATGGGTACAAGCAGCTGGAGGCCATGATCAACTGAGCTCCCTCTCCAGGAGACATATTCTTACGGCCACCACACCTACTCAATTCTGATGTCTTTCACTTAGACATCCACATCAGGTACTTTGCCTCAGGTCCACACCTCTACTTCAGAAGCCTTGTACCCTACATTCATGGTCCTCTTACCCAGAACATGATAGGAACTCAGGCTCAATGATGTCTTAGAACAGCACCCCTGGGAAAAAACATATTATCTACATCTCAATTAGACTATGTAACAAAGGTGCACAGACTGTGTTCCATTCTGCATTTGAATGCACACATGTGTAGGTATGCATGCTTGTCAGTGTGCATGCATATGAACAGTATATTTGTATATGTAGTTGAGCACTTATAACTATGTGTATGCATGTTGTGAATTTACACAATGATACCATTGGCCCATTAGCACTACGTAAGCATTTTGCACACAGTATGTTTTATCTTTACAATTATCTTTGAGGTAGATAAGCAGGTAGTTTGTTGGCAAAATCCTTGTTTCAACATAAATGTTTTCCCCAACATGCCACTCATATAATACAAGGCAGAGCCGTGGTTTGAACCAGAAATGTTTTCCTTTAGAGTTGTAGCTCTTGTCCTTTCTGCCACCCGCCCCCATCCCACCTACTCAAATGACTATGTGTTGCATGAAAGCACAGATGTGTGTGTATATATAAAAGATTCAGATAGGGGAGGGGAACATACCTGGAGGAGTATAGATTGATTATGGATTGGTCACTGCTGAAAGCTACTTCTGCCAGAAGCCCCCGCTCTCCAAAATATAATTCTATTAGTGTGTGTCATCTAAAAACATATATTATATCCTGGTTGTAAGAATTTCTATTTAATGGGGTACAAGACAAATTTTGGAGATTCGAAGCAATTTGAGACTCTTATTCTTCTAGTATAATTGAATGGTGATCCACTTTCTTGGCCTTTCCCCAAAGTCCTTGCTCCCATGGCAGGTTTTTCAGCCTACCTGGTGGACACTGTTTTGTCCTGTTTGGGAGGTATTAAGAAAAAATATCTACCCCAGCACCTTAGTTTTCCAAATCATTTGTCTTTGCCTGTTTCCTAGCAGCATGAAATACCAGTCTGGAGAAATAGATTTAGAATCAGTTTCAGTTGCCATTTAATGAGCACAGGTTCTGTGCATACAATTTTCCTAAATGATCACATTTGATTTTGATTCTCATCAAAACGATGTCTATTTAGCAATGAAGAACTGAGGGTCTAATGGGTTAGGAGACTTGCTCGATGTGCCCTGTTAGGAAGTGGGCAGAACAGGAACTAGAACTGGGCTCTGCAGAACTCACGGCCTGGCTCTTTCCACACACAGTGTTCACATTCTCTCCAGCCAGAAGATACGATCTGCCCAAATACTTGCTTTCCAGGCCATCTACCAGTTCTGCGGTATCCTGGGAACCTGCAGGACCGGCCAAGCCCAGGATAGGGCCGCTTGGGGCCAGGGCAGGTAGACTTACCTGGAAGAGCACCAGCCTAGCTATCAGCATATCCACTTTCTTCCTATTTCCTTTTGCAGCCTCCTTCCTTGGTTCACAATGACAGTCCAACTTCTGACAGTCCTGACTGCCATTCAAGCCTTTTTGCTATTTAAGAATTTTGAGGAAGAAAACCGTCATCTCAAAATCCTGGTAATCAGAAGTGTCTGGAGATTTCGAGCTGTTAACACAGAGAGGTGGCAAAAGTATTTTCTAGGACAGCCTTATGGGCCAGAATGGCACCGGGAGTTGACGTAACTGAAGCCTGGGCAGGTTTCCGAAGCACAGCTGAGGTGGAGAGTAGGTGAGGGCTGCCGCAAAGGCCCCAGCATCTGAAGAGCACTGCACAGTTTGTCAGAGGCTTTCAGCTCCACGCTCTCACTTAGTCCTCACAGCAACCCCATGCAGTGATGGGTGTCACTCCTCTTCACAGCTGAGGAGACCGTGGGGAGAGGAAACATGAATTGCCCACTGGCAGGCAGGTGAGAAGAGACAGAGCTGAGACTCTCACCTAGTTCTTCCAACTCCAGGCCCAGCATCTCAGGACTGTATCCCAATGGCTCTTGCACCTGTATCAGGGCCAATGGCAGGGTCAGTGGCAAATAGCAGAGGGTCCTGAAAACAGATGGGAACATCTAGAAAAGGTAAGGAAGTTGTCTCCGTCAGCTCCAGCCACTGTAACAAATACCCTCATTTAGTTCTGCACTGGGAAGTGCATGATGAGAGTGCCAGAATGATCAAATTCTGGGGAGGACCCTGGCTCGACATCTCCTTGCTGTGTCTTTACATGGCAGAGAGCAGAGAGAGGAAGCTCACACTCTCCTGTCTCTCTTTCTGTGGGCACTAATCCCACCACGAGCGTTCTGTCCTCATCACCTCATTACCTCCCAAGGGCCCCAGCTGCAAAAACGATTACATTGGGGATTAGGGTTTCAATATAAATTTGGGGGAAATGCAAACATTCACTACATAGCAGAAGTATAGCGCCCTGGTGGCCCAGTTCATTTAGTGTAATAAACCTGGCGCTGTGCTAGGCTCTGGGGATATGGCCTGAACAAGGTAGGGAGGCCAGTGGATAAACAGGCAACTCCCACACAGAGGAACAAGCATTCTGGTGGAGGGACGTGCAGGGGAGGGCACCACACCCAGATGCAGTACTGGGCCTGATTCATTTTCCAAATATACAAAAATGACTTGAGGTTTGCAGAAGGAGTGAAAAACAAGTAAATAAATAAAGGTAGTTGCTGTAGGAGGGGAGATCCAAGAAGACTTCCCAGAAGGGGTGGACAGCCTTCTGGAGCTGGGGCCCTGAAGGGTGGGTAGGATCCTGATGTGCAGAGACTTGGAGAAGTATTGCAGCCCAAGGAAGAAGCATGGTCCCTGCAGAGGCAGGAAGTGGGAGATTCCTGGGAGTAATCACTCACCTTCATAGCCTGTGTAGGCACTGTATGGGGTAGGGTAACAGGAGATGCAGCTGGAAAAGCAGATGGGGGTCAAGACAGGCCTTCCAATGTTTCATTTTATCTCACAGGCAGTGGGGAGCTGTCGAGAGCATTTTGAGTGGAACAGTGATACTGTTGGCTCTGCATTTTGAAAAGGTGGTTTTCAGGGCAGTTTGGATGATGCTGGGGAGAGGCTGACAGGTTCAAGGTCATTCCTGAGGAGCAGGTAGCTGAGACATGATAAGGGGATTAGCAGGCTGACTTGAGGGCAGCACCAGCATACAAGCCCCAATCATATCCGAGAAGTACAGATCCACCTGGAGGAGCCAGGAATCAGAGGCAAGCTCAAGGCTGGTGATGAGCCAGAGGGCAGGGGCAAGGCAGATGAGAAGACTCCATGGGAGTGCAGGGCTAGGGTGGGAGGCTGGGGGCAGGGGTGTGAGGGCTATTGTTCGAAAGGGCCGCAGGTAGGCCCCTAATTGAATGTGGGTGTTCATGAGTGCATGTATGTGCGTTGGGCTGTACATGTGGACAATGATGCATGCACGGACGTGTCCCTGGCTGGGAGGAGAGGGCACTGGGCTAAACGGTGACAGACCAGGAGATAATGAGGGCCCCCAAAGGCCTGGAGGGGAGACATACAGGCTGGAGCAGGTCCTAATACCCACATGGGCACTCAACCCTTGGCCATCTCTGTAGCTATAGAAAACAGAGCAGTGAGCTTCCCAGAACGGTTTTGTTCCCTTGGTCATGCTTTACTGGAAGGCAGTGCCTGCAGCACCTCCCAGCTGTCCAGCTCAGGAGTCCAGCCACCGTGCCCCAGGCACCTACTTAGCATGTGACACCAGAGACACAGACATGAAAACCTAGTCTTTTTTAAAAAACTTGAATCAAACTTTATGGCACTTTCCACTGATTTTCTAGAAGTTTGTCCTCTGCACTCAAGGCTGAGGAAACCAGCTTATGGGCAGGCTGGTCATTCCAGGGGGTTCCTTTGAAAACTTCCGGGGTGTCCAGGAGCCAGCAGCCTGCTGCGCACGGGACGCAACGCCGGGTGAAATCCCAGATGAAAGTGAGCGGCATCGCCGAGACAAACCCAGATCCTTTTCAGCACAGCGACTGCTTCCTTTCTCCCTTCCTCCCACAGCTCGGCTAGAGTTTACTGCCCAGCCGAGCTCCGTGGAGCGTTTCAGAGCCATCCGTGCCGCTTGCCCCCCAACAGGGCGACGCCGGCTGGCTGACCCCTCGCCTGCTGGGGGGTACTGTACCCACGGCCGGGGCTTCGCTATCCCTTTCCTCCCCTCCCGCTGCTGACGCACGCTTCCTATAATAAGCCTCTGTTACTTGGAGCTGGGGCGGCTCCGTAGTAAGCCGAAACCGCTACTATATTTACACCCTTTCCACATTTAGACAAAGGCTATTTTTAACAGAAGGTCTATTTGTGGGGGTTGCCCACGTCACACTGTTCACATGCATCTCACCATCCTCAGTCTGTTCTTCTGATTTCACACTTGTACCGGGCCTCTCTCCTTCTCTCTCTCCTTCTCTCCATCATTTTTCTTTCATTTCTTCCTTCCTTTCTCCCATTTTCTTCCTTTTTAAAATCAGATTGAGGTCTTTGGCAGGCTGTTTGGCCAGAGCCCTTCAGGAGACAGTGAGGCCCAGTCCTCACAGAGCAGAGTGGGCAGTGTGGCCACGTGCTGGGCTATGAACTGTTCTTGGCACCTACTGTGAGGACCAGCAGAGACCCCAGTGCCCAGGGGCTCCATATTGGCCCGTTCTGCCTCCAGGTTTATGTGGGCAGGATGCTGGGACCACGAGAGTCTGCCCTTTTCTCCTCATGCCAATCTAGTTTTATTGGAGGGGGGACGGGTGTGCACGTCTGTGTGTGTGTGTGTGTGTGTGTGTGTGTGTGTGTTGGGGGAGAAGTGGTGAGCAGGGTCAGAGGAAAATAAGCCAATGCGTTCATCATTCGTGCAGAACACTTTTTCAACTTAAAAGTTAATTTTATCAGATTTGTCTAAGATGACACAGTTTTTGTTTGTTTGGGTGAAGGCGGTTTCATATTTCCTAGATGCATAATCCACTTATGAAAAAGAGGGGGGATGCATGGAGTTAGCACATGTCAAGTGCTTGCTGTAGTCAAGCCCTATTGGGCACCAGGGAGATCTGGACTCAGACAGCAGAGCTATAAGGGGTGGTCCTGCCTGCACCAGGTTTCAGGTGAGGAGATTGAAGCCCGTGGAGATCCAGGTCAGGCCTGAATTCACTTAGCTGGTAAGCGGCTGTGCTGGAACTTAAATCTTTACAGACTGCGTGCTGGCCCCAAATCTCACACCTCCCCCATTGTTCCCTTTTCAGCTCCTAAAACACGCTAGTCTCCATTAGCACTGTTTCTGTTATTTTCTTTCCCTAGTTCTGCTCCTCTCCTCAGCCCCCACCCCAATGAGAAGAGACCTTCCCCACCTCAGAACCCCATCTGCATTTCCTTGGTCTACTCTTCAGATTATGAGTCCTCTCAAATACAGGCATGTCAGAATCTAAAAAGGACACCAGAAAAGGCCTGGTGGGCACTGAAGTGTCCCAGAGAAACCCCTTGTTGCCGAATCTTATGTTTTTCCTCCCAACAGTCAATTTGGATTGTAGCTTCTGAGTAAAATATTTTTACTGCATTTCTGAGAGAGGAGAGCTGAGATTTGAATCCACATCAGGCTGTGCTAGAAACAGAATACAGAGCCCATCATAGGATGCCCTGCCCTCTGTAGCCTAACTTCTGAAAGTCTCATAAAACATGTGAGAACCGAATGCTCCCTGAGCCCCCATATTCAAGCCTTTAAAATTGCTGATTCTGGTTCAGACGTTTCCTGGAGACTCTGATAAAAGATTATTGTCTTCTTGGTGTCCTAGACATGAGGGGTCCTGAGCCCAGGAGTCTAGCAGCTGTAACAAGAGGCAAGTCACGTTGCTTATATTTAATTCAATGTCTTCATCCCTAAAATAGAGATCATAATGCCCCCTTGCCCACTTAGCCACTTCACAATTTGCAGAGATGTTGTAATGAGAGAATGCATGTGAGTGTGCTGCTTTGAGAGTGGGCAAACGCAACAAGACAGCTAGCTGCTAGTGCTGATGTTTTTCATCCTTAGTGTGGATGTTGAGAGAGAGCTCAGGAAGGCCAGGTGATATGGACAAGGTCACACAGCAAGTAAGTGGTTGAAATAAAGGCACAATAGCCCTGTGTCCCTCAGCAAGGGGCTGAAAAGAAATTACAGAGCCAGTGGGAAGGCTCGGGTGCTGAGCTTTAGCAATGCTGGGCTGAGCTCAGTACAGAAATGGGGACACTGATTTGGGATGAATCCCAATGCTCTCCCCAGCTGACCCCGACTCCCTGTACCTTGGTCCCAGTGGCTTCTCAGGCTTCTCTGCAGCATGGGTGTCCTGCCTTGGCCAGAGCCGAAATCCCAGAGCAGTGAAAAAGGAGCCAGTGTCACGGGGCTTCTGGTTTCAGGACGCACTGGAAAGGTGAGAAGGAAGCTTGTCTTCCCATGGATCTGGGCCAGACCTGGGTGGCGGGGCCTCCCCACCAGGAGCTGGGACGTTCCCCAGGTGCCCGGGCATCCCCAGGTCAGGAGGGCCCCCAGCACTTTTTCAAAGCATTAGCTGGGTCAGAAAATAAATCATTCAGCCTTTTGCGGAGACCAGATGCTTTGTTGGTTTCAGGCAAAACCTGCCCCAGAATCTGCAGCCTGGGAAGGCCTTGTGCCCACCTGGATTAGGGGCTAGTTTGGGGAAAAGAGGTCCCTACTCTTTGTACCTGCTTCTTGGAGGACTTGATGAGATGATCCCCCACACCTTGACCTCCATGACTTTGCCCTTCACACTTTGGCCATGCCCTTCTCACCAGCCACCACTCCACCTCTCTACCCCAACCCTCATCAGATTTTCACCTGTTTTCAAGGTTCAGGTATTGCTCCCTATGTGAAATCTTGTCTGGCCCTCTTTCACTCAGTCAGGAATAATTCACCCCTCCCTGCTCCCTTCTCTGTGCCCTTAGTGTTCTCTGTGAACATGGTAGCTGACACAGGCTGGTCTGTACTGGAGTTATCCTGGCACCCAGCCTACAAACAGAGGAAATGTGCAGTTCATTCATGGAATTTGAGTCAGGCTTAGTTTTCACCTCTTCTGAGGGTGGAGCAGAGCCTCCGGGTAAGAGGGTCACAGACAGTGTAGTGGTGCCCCACCAGCTCCCCTTTTAAGGACCAACGCACACTCCCCCTCCTCGAGCTGCTGAACGTCACCTGTTTACCTGCTAATGACTCACAGCTGCACCCTTTCTCCAGAGAATGGCTCTCAGAAGACAGAAGCTACATCTCCACGAGGTTACAACTTTCTCCCCGTACTTGCTCCCCAGTCACTGCCACCACAGGCAATGACTGAGTGACACAGAAATGCAAAAGGGCAGTCCCCTCCCCTAATGAAGGGACACCTCTGCAGTGTGCTTTAGGCTCCAGAGAGTCAGTCCACTTCTACCCCTTTGGATCAGGCCAAGGCTGGCCTTCCCTGAGATCATACTTTAGGATGACCAGCCTAAATTTCAGTTTTAGCACTGAAATTCCCATGTCCATCAGTTTGGGGCAAATGGGGCTGATTGACTAGCTTAGACTGGGTTACCAGATTTAGCAAATAAATATGCAAGATACCCAGCTATTTTTGCATTTCAGATAAACAAAAAATACATTTTGAGTATAAAGAGGCCTCATGCAAGACTTCCAACATACTTACAGTAAGAAATTACTCATTGTTTACCTGAAATGTAAATTGCCCTGGGCAGCCTGTATTTTATCTGCTTGCCTGGCCCTCAACCACATCTGTGTTTGTCTCTCTCCCTGCTCCTATCCTGCTTCCTTTCCTCTCTCCCTTGCAGATTTTTCCTGAAGATCACTCCCCCAGTGAATGACATGTACCTAAATCCCTGCTTCAGGCTCTGCTTCTATGGAACCTGGCCTAAGACTGTTGTTTGTCCCTCTCTGCTGCCTAAGGTGGCCAGAGAAGTCCTTTCATTTCCCCTGAATGTTGCAGAATCTTTCTTTTTGGTCAGACTTCACTTGGTCCACCTTGGCTAGAGTAGGGGAAATCATGACACCAATTCTTGCCAGCTGAGGTCCCCCAGGTCCTCACAACAGCCCTGAGTGATGGCTACAATTCTTATAACCATTTTTAGATGAGAAAACTGAGGCAAGAGAGATGCAACAGCTTACCTGGCTGCACAGAAAGTGGCAGAGCTGAAATACAGAACCATAGTTCCCTGCCTCTAAGATTCCTGCTTCATCAGTGCCTCCCAGGGAATCCAGGAGAGACACAGGAGCAAGGCTTTAGCTTTGCTGATCTACCCCCTCCTGACCCCTGCAGCATTCGGACTTCAAGCTTTGACCTTGTCTCTTGGCACTGGAGGGATAGGGCAATTCTAGGTAAGCTCTCTGGGTGACCCTAGCCACTAACTTTACATTTGTGCAGAACTGGCTTCCCAGAAACCCCAGGAAGATGGGGGTGTCCAGAAATCCATGTGGCCACAGCCCCCTTTAGGAAGGCTCTATTTTCATTCATCTATGACAGAGCTATGTTCATGGCTTAGGGTCTGAGCCTCAATTTAACATGATAGATCATGACAACTAGATGAAATTGACCTCTAGGGGGCCATTGAGCTATTGCCCAATAGGATTTGAAGTTTCCATAGACCTGACATTCATGTTTAGTTAAGTACTTAACCTGGTACCTGGTACAAGGTAGTGCTCACCTAACAGTGGCTGTAAGTAGTAGTATTTATCCTAAGCAATAGTAATAAGAACATCTGATGAATGAACCTGAAACCCATCATTCTCAGCAAACTGACACAAGACCAGAAAATCAAACACCACATGTTCTCACTCATAGGCAGGTGATGAACAATGAGAACACTTGGACACAAAAAGGGGAGCATCACACACAGGGGTTTGTTGGGGGGGCTATGGGGATAGTGGGAAGGAGGGTGGGGGAGAGTTAATGTGGTGAGAAATGTCAGGTATAGGTGATGGGGGGATGGTGGCAACAAACCACCTTGCCATGAATGTACCTATGCAACGATCTTGCATGATCTGCACATGTACCCCAGAATCTAAAGTACAATAAAAAAAGAACATCCCATTCCCCAGATAACATGAGACTGATATGGATATGTCCTATAGCATACTCAACAGGCTTCAGCTTAAAGCCCTCCAAAGATGCGGTGAGTTGCCTCAGAAGCCAGTGAGTTTTCTGTCATTCACAGGGAAGAAAGGGAGGAAATTTGTTTATCTACCTACCGGTGGGAGATAATTTCCATCCGTTATCTCTTTTAAGCAAATGCTGAGATGTTCCAGAAGAGGCTGGATGACAGCTTGTGATGGCGTGCCAGCTTCTGAGGGGCTGAACTAGAATGATATAGAGGTCCTCCCAGACCTGAGACTCCAGGAATCTTTGAAAACGCTGACGTCCCACATTTATAAGACCAGTGGCCACTCTGGTGTCCAGAAGTCTGGCAAATCGTTCTAAAATAGTGTCACAGGCTCCAACCCTGCACTTTTCAGAACTGTCCACACACTTAGACCAATCAGAGACCTGGCTTGTGCCCCTGAGTTGGGGGGTGGGGACATTGACCTATGGGCCTTCAAAATCCTCCTGACCTGCAAGTTCCTCGGCATAGGAGACTACACCAGACCCTCTTTCTTCTTGCCTGTCACCACACTATGCCTCCCCTCTTCTCAAGCCGCTCAGCTCAGCCACAGACAGAGTCAGACATGCTCAGTTGCCAGCCCTACAGCTTCCCAGCTTTCTGCTCCCTCACCCACAGCTGTCAAAAGGATACCCCAGAGTCCCTGTTTCACACACACACACACACACACACACACACCAAAACAAACAAACAAACAAAAAACCCTTTATGGAATCTTTGCCCACAATCACAAAATCACAGGGCTGAAAGACACGGCAAGTACCTAGCCCAAAGCTGAGCAGATCCCTTAAGTCCAGGCCTCTCAAGAACTCCCCTACCAGAATCCTCCATCTGCACACCTCCACAGTGGAGAGCTCGCTCTCAGCTGGTGTCACCCTTCCTAGCGTTGAACTCCTCGGCCTTTAGAAGGTGCTTCTCGTATCCAGGTGCCAGGCATCCAGGTATCCAGGTGACTTCTTCTGGCTTCCTCTCATTGGACCTAGTGTTTTAAGGGATGGCACAAGAGTCTAATCTTGTTGGAAGGTGGTGTGCAAAGAAGTGCCGGAAGACACATGGGAGGAAGTAGAGAGAGATGAAGTCAGAGGAGGTGAGAAACATCAGAGAGAGAATTGGCAGGGAGATGCACAATCTAAAAGGGACCTGTATCCTGCATGCTGACGATTTTTCCATTACGCTTTAAAAAAAAACTCTGTTGCTCTTCAGCAGAATGGAAAACATGTCCATCCCAAATAACTTACTCTCTGAGAACTGCAGAATAAACGGGAGCGTTGTATGACCTATTGTGCTGATGAGAAAAGAGTAATCAGGAAGGGAGAAGACTCAAAACTGTGTTGCATGGAGAAGAGTTGAAAGAACTGGGTCTCTATCCAGAAGAAGGGATTTGGCTGGTAAAGTGTTTGCCTCTGACAGTCCTTCCTGGGAAAGAAGGATTGGACTGATTCTAAACAGAATGAAGAATTGGACTTAGGACCAAAGGATAAACCACCAGAGTGACCAAAACTTTCTACTAGACAGAGCTGTTTAACAGTTGGTAAGGTAGTGAGAAGTCCCTGTCCCTGATGGTGTCCAAGCAGTGGGGGCACTTGATGTTTTATGTCTGACAGTCCATGAGTTTTCTTTGAATGCATGCATATCACCAACACACACACACACACACACACACACACACACACACACACTCTGAAGCCTGGCCATATAAAGCCAGGTGAGGCACACGAGTGTGGGGCGTGCATCTCTCACTTTCCTTAACTTTGGCCACCCAGAGATTTTCCCATTGCAGACTTGGTTGTCAGCAAGAAATAAAAGCCTTTCCTCTCTCCTTGGGAGGAGCAGAGCAGATTGTCTGGATCTGCTGCATGCTGCCCTGGCTCTGGTCTCAGCACCAAACGCGTTCCTTCTGCTCAGTCTGTTCCCGTTTTGACAATGCAGAGGGGAGAGCTGGAGAAAGTCCCACAGCCCAGAGCCCTGGAAGCAGAGGGCGGGGCTTTGTTGTCGGACAGGACGGATCGTATTTGCATTCAAGAAAGACTAGGCAGAGCCCCTTGCTCCCAACACAGGCAGAAAGTTTGGCTGGGGCTGGCGCCAATCCTCAGGCATCTTTTGAAGAGAGTGTTACCTGCTGTCGTCCTTTCACTGTTTTCTCAAGGGCAGAGCCTGAAAAAGGTTTCCGCTGGAGGAAACTTCTCTAAACCTCTCTAGCATCCTGGAGATTAAAATAAGCTGTTTTTTCTCTGCAAAAGGGATGAGATGCTCTGCTACCTGAGGGTGGAGTACTAGGCTCTTCGCCTGATTAAGATTCGGAAAATACACTTTTTGACTACAGCATTGTATGTCCCATGACCAGCCAGTAGTGATCCATTAAACAATGTTACTCGAGGAAGATTCACTCAGTACCTACTCTGTGCTAGGCCATGCCTCCCAGGCACCGGGGAGCAAAGGGGGAGAGATCCAGGACTTACCCTCAAGAAGCTTATAGTCCAGTGGGAGAGACCATCACAAGCAAAAAATTTAAATCTATGCAGTCAGGGCTCCAGGAGAGCTTTGCTCTGAGTGCACTAGCTGTCTGGGAGCATCTGGGATAGCGTCTGCAGGGAAGGGATGCTTGGGATGCGTTTTCAAGAATACACCGGATTTTATGAAGCTGCAAAGGGCAGGAATAGGAAGGGGTCTGTGCACGCAAAGTTCTGGGAAAGACATGGAAAAGCTTTTCTTTATTTAAGGAACTATGAGACCTTTGACATGACCAGAGGCGCTACTATGCAGACAGGAAAGTGCAAAGGATGAATCTAGAGCAGAGGTTTTAACCAGGAACAATTTGTATCCCAGGGATACGTGTTTGTCACAAAGAGAGGAGCAGCAGTGCCACTGGCATCTAGAGGGTAGAGGCCAGGAACGCTGCTGAACATCCTATCATACTACCATGTGGGCAGCCCTCACAATCCATGATCTGGTCCAGAACCTCGATAGTGCTGAGATAGAGAAACCCTGAGCATGGTAAGGTGTTTAGGACCTTCTGCCCACTGCAGAGAAGCAGCAGCCACACCAGGAAAATGGGAGCTCTGTTAGGGGCACTGTGCTTTCTGAGGGTCACACAGAGAAGGCATCCAGAGGAGGGAAGCCAGGGGAGTGCTGAGCTTTCAGATTCTGTGCTCTGGAGTGCCCCGTACCTGTGCTTCAGCCAGCCCTCCCAGCTTTATTTTCTGTACACATTTGATAAGCCTGCATCCAGTGTCTACCTCCAAATGTTGATAAAAATATTGAACACAAAAATTTCAGAGAAAATAATGACTTCGATTCATAAAATGTTATTCAGTTTATGGGGCATTTTACATCCTTCATCTCATTTATATTCATTTTACAAAACAAATATGAATCTAAGAGATGTTCTGCAATCTAGGAATTATTTAACTATAACATGTTCAGCTCCCATCTCTTCTCCTAGACTGGTCCCTGAGTGTTCCAAGGACCCATGCATCTAGTCACAAAGGTTGCTGGGAGTATCCTCCATCTTGGCCTTAAAGGACTCCCTTTCAGCTTCTTGGATTCAGATCTGTGTGAGGGGTTAAGAGCAGGTTCCCTGGTCTCCTTCTGCCCCTAGCTGTGACACTCACATACCCTTCTGACTACCGGGAACCTCTCCCTCCATGAGGCTGAATTGGTAAGAGGACCTCTCATGGCTAGCAGGCAGGGACAGCTGCTCAGCTCATGTTCTCTGGCCAAGAAGTGTTACTGACCCTGTGATTTGGCCCTTCATCCAAACTGGCAGATGGGTACAGGTGCCTTGCCATGATACTGCTTCCCCTCTACCAGGCATGCCTGACCATTAAATCGCCCAGCGGAGGATAGCACCAGTCAGCTGAGGAGTGGGCTCTTTCCAAGTGGAACCCCAAAACACTGCTAATCTAAAATGTCACTGTTCTTAGGGACAGCACAAATCAACCACGCCAAGTCACACACTGCAGAAACACTCTCAATAGTCAACACTAGGTGTTCTAACAGCTTGTTCAAGCCTGTGCATCTGTGGTTTAGAAGTTTAGAACATGGCAATCTTTTACCCCAATAGCTCTCTGGGAACTGATTTCCCATATTCCCAAAGCAATAGCCAGCTCCCAGCTTCATCATTCAGGAAAAAGAGCAAGCGTCTCCCCTTCATCCTCTCCATCTCCCACAGTACATTAAGTACAAGCCCAAGGAGAAGAATCATGAGCAATGAATCTTCATCAAACAATAAAATCCTGTCTGGTGCCAGACCTACCTCCACCATCCAAGCACTGCCTGCCCTGTCCCCCCATTAAACCTCTTACCATTGTAGCCGGTGGCTCCCAGGGCACTGTCCTTTCCGTGGCTCCTCCTCCCACCAGCATGGCCCAGCGGCTCTCTCCTGCTGCTGTGCTTCCATCCCTGTCCAATAACATTGCTCTTTCTCCAGCAGGGTCCAGCCACTTTGTCACAAGCTACATCTGTGGAGAGTACCTACCCCTGACTGCAGGGTGGGATGGATAAAAGGATAAGAAGGGGACAGGAGCAGATGGAGAAAGAAGGTGGCAAGACAGGGCAGGCAAGAGATGGTGGTGGCTGAGTCTAGGGTGCTGATTATGGAGTGAAGGGAAAGAGAGGCGTGAAAGCTGAGCCTTTGCTGAAAAGAATGTCAAAGGAAGCTCAAGCACTGGGAGGGGTGAGGGCAGAAGAGGGGTCCTTTCCAACTGTAGGACCTTTAAACAGTACAGAGCCTATACTGGCTTGGAACCGTGCCATGCCTCTGATCCTAGGGAATAAGCATCTCTTTTGGGGTGCAGGGCAACAGCACCCATTTCTCCATGAGCCGCGTGCTTGCATTTTCCAGTGGGATGCTCTCCAGGTTCAACCAGATCCTCTTGTCTTGTGCTTGTTGATCGCCTGGGCATGATTCCCTCCAGCTCAGCAGAGTGGTAGGGGATCGGGAGCTCACAGCACAGGGGCTTGAACCCGGTGGGGGCTGGGCATTGGTCCCTGGGACTCTGTGGCAGTGAGGCAGCCACGCTGTGTCGAGTCTGCGTGAGGGGATTTCTAAAAATACATCTGTCCTGCTGCTCATGGGGCTCGTGAGTGCCAGGCAGACGGGATAGGCGTGTACAACCCGCTCCCTCCTCTGTCCCCAGTGCCTCCCCACTACCTCTTCTCATCCAGATGATTCCACGAGCCACCTGCCTGCTCTCCCTCTCCCCATGGACCACCAGGTACTATAGTTACTAAAAACACGGGGTCCTGTTGGGAGACCACACAGCAGCCAAAGCCTCATTTCATTGATTCACTCACTCATTCATTCAATCCTCAGCATGCAGCACATATACATTTAATGTGCCAACGTGGCACGCTTTTTCAAGGCCAGGCTTGTGGCAGGTGCTACAGATTGGGTGAGCGAAGGCAGACACAGAAGGACGCAGTGTATGAATCCATGCATGCAATGCTCGGGAATAGGCAGATCTACTCTGCAACAATGGAAGTCACAATACCGATCACTTCTGGGAGGGGACATGTAGCTATTGACTGAGGAAGGGCAGGGTGGGCTTTCTGGGGTCTGGCAATGCTCTGTATCATGATCTGAGTGATGGTCTCAAGGGTGTAACAAACTGTGAAAATGCACTGAGCTGCACACTTGAGATCTGTGCCTTTTAGTGTTGTCGGTTAGACCTCAACAATTTTTTAGATGTATATAAAATATAATTCCGGCTTTACTTTTTGGAGCTATACACATATCTATGACTCAAGACTCGAGGAGAAAACTATCAATACCTTAACAGTATTTGTCTCTGATTGGTAAGATTATGGTAAACTTTTAATTTCCTTCTTTATACTTTTCTGGACTTCCCAAATATTCTACACTGAAGAGACCTTGTTTAAGTAATGATTAAATGTATTAAATGTTATTTTAAAAGTAAGAACCCTTGAGGTGGGACAACCAGCAAGCACGAGGCAGGTGGCTGTCTTCCCAGAGAGGCCAAGCCAGCTCACAAGCTTTTGCCCTTTTGGGCAGCAAGGACACTGGCTTAGGAGTCCTGTTCCAGGTCTGAGATTTCAGTGCAGCTAAATAAAGCTCTTGGCCCGCTGGGGTTGGTGAGGTGGGGCTGCTTGTGGAAGCCTCGGGGTTTTCCTCTCATGCCCGAGGGGAAGGAGGCTCCAGGGCTTTCAGAGGCTTGCCAGGCCCATTCTCACCCTGGCAGCCGTTTAGACCAGCCTGACTCAGAGTCCCGTGCAGTTCTAACATCTTAGGATTGGAACTGTGAGTCCCAGCCTGCCTGGAGGTCTCTCTCATGGAGGGGGGATAATTTCAGGATCCTCCACCACATCCCTTCAGCAGGAAGGACATGGCAGTGTATGCAGTTTGGGCGCACAGAGAGGTAGAGTGAGCTAATGGTGCAAGTGAAAAAAAATAGATCAAACCCTGGAAACTCTAAGGAAGGAAGACAATGGGACATGGAGGAATCACTCGGGGGGCCTTGGTTTTCCACTGGGAAACGAGGCTGTTGTGAGATGAGCATGTAGAAAATGCTGGAATGGGAGGCTGACTTTGTGTTCTGGTTTTGGTGACGCTTTAGGACATGGAGACTGGCTACATGGCTGGCTCCCGGGCCTCCTGCTCCAATTCCAGTGCCCCACTTGCTCAGCTGCCACATCCCAGACATAGCAGGGGCAGGATAGATTTCCTCGTATGTGCATCTGAAGCCTGATTTCTGCCTTGGCAAAGCTACCGTGGTCATGTGATGAGGATCAGCTTGTGATTCACGAATGTATTTTGTAGTTCTAACTTGGATCCTAAAAACACTTCCCTCTTCCCTCCCACCTCCCTCTCCTCTGCCCACAACACGAAGGCTCCCACAGAGATGTCATGTGAAGCCTTCTCAGGCTGAGCCAAGGGAAGAGCCAGTGGCCAGCTCTGCCCTGTGACACACACAGCCTCCAGCAGTCACATGGTCTCCAGCTGCCACCACCTGCCCTCTGTCCCCGGCCTGCTACGCTCTCCCTGGCAGGCTTCCTGAGCTGATGCTTCCCTCCAGGCTGCAGCATAGCAGACAGTGGGACTGACAGACAGAGGGTACAGGGCCAACAGGCTTGGACAGTTCTGTTCCCAGCTGACCTTGGGGTAGGAACCCAACCAGGAGGCTCCTGGACACTACATGGTGTGTCCTGCAGGGAGGTGCCTTGCTGGCCTGATCCAGAGGTAGATGGGGTATTGGCAGCTGGTTCCCCACAGCCAGCCCCAGCTCCACGAGCAGGGAGCCTGAGCCACAGGTGCTGAAAATAAGGCAGTGCAGGGAGCCAATGGCAGCATCAAGTGTACCTCATGGAAAGGCTGGAAGCAGGACATTACCAGGCCTTCCAGAGAGGGAAGAGGAAAAAAGCAGGAGTCACCTCTGTACATATTCACAAAAAAGAAAAAAAAAATGAAAGTTCTCAATCGAGAGCTGTTTTGCCACCTGGGGGACACTTGGTAACGTTTGAAGACATCGTTGGTTGTGTAAGACATAGTTGGTTGCTGGCATCTAGTGAACAGAGGCTAAGAATGCTATTGCTGAACAGTCTGCGATGCTCAGGACAGCCTCCAACCCCAACAAAGAATAACCCAGCCTCAAATGATAGAGTTGCTGTTGAGAAACCCCTACCTATAGAGAAAGTAGCATTGCTAGGGAAGATCTGAGCAGGGTCCCATGAATAAACCTGCCAGAGTGAGCTGCAGCTATTAGTTCCAGGCTTAGAACCCTTCCGTGTTTGTTTAGTGCCTTCAAATTCGAGCTTACACCCTTGGGCACAGGCACCAAGACTTCCTGCCATGATCAAGCCTTGGCTTGCCCTTCAGCCTCATCTCCCACTCAGTTTTGGTCACGCCAGACCGTCAACATCCCAAATACTCCAAGATCCTTGCCCTTGAGGAAGAAGATTCCACACCCTGCCTGGAATGGTCTCTCTCCACTTCTGTCCCCCGCTTCCCTGTTCTGAGTCCAGCTGTGACATCCTTGAGAAGCCTTCTTTCATTGCTATCCTGCATCTTCCTTGTTCCTGGGATAGCACACAGCCCCTCTTCCATAGAACATCACACAGGACAGATGCTGGGATGGCTGACTTATATATCTGTCCATCCCTCCAGACTGTTGTGGGTTCCCTCAACAGGGTGAACTTTAACAACAGAAGCCACCAGTTTCTCCTGATAGATGGGCAGATCTGGCCTCAATGGAAGAAGATACTTGGGGAACTGGAGAAAATACAGAGGGAGATGTGAAGTCAACTGGGCCATCAGAAGAAGCTGGGAAGCAGGGGCAGGAAAGAGTCCTGAGAAACTCACCAAATAGGGGCCTGGGAACAACGCCACAGAGGAGCAGTTGGTCTGAGAGACCAAATGGGAGGTGGTCTGCCAATTCCAGAGGAGGATCTGTAAGCTCCCAGTGTACTTCAGGGTGGGCAAATGGCATGCAAAATTGGGATTGCCACCAAAATGATTTTTACAGATGGGGAAAATTAATCATTTACACTTAAAAGCAGCTTTGTGGAGAAGGTAGGGTAAGGGACATTCCCATTCTATAATGAAAGAAGCTGAGGCTTGAGGAGGTAAAGGGATTTTCCCATATTGCCAAGCACCTCATCCCACCACCTCTTCTCTTTGGGCTGCATCATTCTGAGTCAGCCAGGACAAGATCGGTCAGCTCATTCCTGCACCATTAGTCTGATTTCCATGGGCAATCCCAAAATAAGACAAAAAAGAACAATTCTCCAATGCCATTTCTGGGTGCTCATTTATTCCCAGAATTGCTTTGTTCTTGCTTTTTACAGCTTTATTAAGATGTAATTGACCTCTAATAAATTGCACATATTGAATGTGTATAGTGTGATTGGAGTTAACATGTATACTCCTGTGAAACCATCACCATCATCACCACATTTAAGACTATAAACATGACTGTCACTCCTAAAAGGGATTATCCATCACCCTGACTCCTCTTCATTCTCCCAACAAGCAGCCCTGACCTGATTTCTTTTTTTTTTTTTTTTTTAAATTTTTTATTGGATTTTAGGTTTTGGGGTACATGAGCAGAGAATGCAAGACAGTTGCGTAGGTACACACATGGCAGTGTGCTTTTCTTTCCTTCTCCCCTTCACCCACATTTGGCATTTCTCCCCAGGCTATCCCTCCCCTCCTCCCCCTCCCACTGGCCCTCCCCTTTTCCCCCCAATAGACCCCAGTGTTTAGTACTC